AAAAAAAAAAAAAAAAGTAAAGTAGAAGAAAATCAAAGCCCAAGATACTTTTCCCCCTTACATTTAAACAAGAAGATCAGAGGATATATAGCTCCTGTCTTTTCCTGTTCAAACTTTACTTCTCCAACCCTCTTTTTCCCACTTAAATTTGGCTTGATGATGCCAGTTAGAAAAATTCAAAGGCTCATAAATTCAGAGCTGCCATCCTATAGCCTATAACACTCCAACTGACCCTTAATAATGATGTTCAATGACTTACCAGCAGAGATAAAGGAAACACATAAGGCTCCCCTGATCTCTTTTGAAATCTCAGGTTCCTGGGTGCATGCCACTCCAACGGCCTCAAAGTGCTGTTTTCCTGCATAAGAAAAACAGCATTAGTTGGGGAAGAGAAGTGTCAGTTGGCCCTGATAAAAACATTTCATCTGATGAAGCCATGAATAACCCTCACAAAACACATTTCATGTAATCAAAGTTGACCCTACATCCTGAGCTTATATAACTTTGCATTGGAAGATGCAAATTATAATGTGCATTTTATGTATGGCATGCAGATTTGCTTTGGAAGATACTAATTTTATGGTCACAAATAAAAGGAATGGGGTAGGGGTAGGTAGTCTGCCTGGGAAGGTGACAGTGAGATTTTAAAAAGTGATTATAGGCTGGACACGATAGCTCACACCTATAATTCCAGCACTTTGGGAGGCCCAGGCAAGTGGATCACCAGAGGTCAGGAGTTCGAGACCAGCCTGGCCAACTTGGTGACACTTTATCACTACTAAAAATACAAAAATTAGCCGAGCACAGTGACACATACTTGTAATCCCAGCTATCTGGGAGGCCGAGGCAGGAAAATCGCTTGAACCTAGGAGGCAGAAGTTACAGTGTGCAGAGATTGTGCCACTGCACTCCAGCATGGGCAATAAGAGCAAAACTGTCTCAAAAATAAAAGTGATTATAGGCCTGGTACAGTGGTTCACACCCATAATCTCAGCCCTTTGAAAGGCTGAGGGAGGTGGATAACTTGAGGTCAGGAGTTTGAGACCAGTTTCTACTAAAAATATAAAAGTTAGCCAGGCTGTGCTGGTGCATGCCTACAGTCCCAGCTGTTTGGCAGGCTGACGTAGGAGAATCGCTTGAATCCTGGAGGCAGAGGTTGTAGTGAGCCGAGATTGCACCATTGCACTCCAGTCTGGGCGACAGAGCAAGACTCAGTTTCAAAAATAAACAAAAGGCCGGGCGCAGTGGCTCAAGCCTGTAATCCCAGCACTTTGGGAGGCCGAGGCGGGTGGATCACGAGGTCAAGAGATCGAGACCATCCTGGTCAACATGGTGAAACCCCGTCTCTACTAAAATTACAAAAAAATTAGCTGGGCATGGTGGTGTGTGCCTGTAATCCCAGCTACTCAGGAGGCTGAGGCAGGAGAATTGCCTGAACCCAGGAGGCGGAGGTTGCGGTGAGCCGAGATCGCGCCATTGCACTCCAGCCTGGGTAACATGAGTGAAACTCCGTCTCAAAAAAATAATAATAATAATAATAATAATAATAAACAAATAAATAATGATTATAAATGGAGATTAGAAGGACAGTATTAAATCATGAAAAAACGGATTAGAACAGCCAAAAATATGAGCATATCTTAAGTCAATGTAAGAAAAGAACAGTAGCTATCTTTTTTTTGGTAATGACCTGGGTAAAGGGATGGGAGGCAGGGAAGAAAAAAGATGTCTAGGAAAGGGGATTAGCTGAAAGGATTAGATAGAGAATTACCTTAGTGATTAGGTGGCTCTGGAGAGGCTAGTTTTAACTTGGAAGTGAAGGATAGCCTAAGATTTGCATAAAAAGGACCATGGCTTCCTCAGAGTAAGGGTTTAAAAGCTAGACTAAGGGAGAAATAAGAAATTAATAAATCTACACTTGCATATAAAGTGGTGAAAAAAAAATCTGTGAACAAGTTATGCAAGTTATCCCTACCTATTAAAACAAACAACTGAAAAACTCTTAAATCCCTACACTACAGTGAGGGTAATTTTTGTCCTCAAACTTTTCAACCGAACGTGAGAAATAACGATGACCTACGACTTGGAGCTGGGTCTCTGTCTTAGGGGCCAAACTTTAATGAGAAAAAACAAAAACAAAGAATTTTTTTCCCCTATAGCAATACAGTTTGCTTGTCTAGCACACGAGATGTAAACAGTTCTATGTTTCACAATGACACCAACAAGTTTCTTCACTCAAAAAAATAAATCTGTCAATATATCTAGGTTTCCATTAAACACTCACATTTTCTTTATCTGCAGATGAGCTACACATTGCATCTCTCTTTCTATGGCCACGGTCCAAACCGTTTGGAGTGCTACAAAGAAGCTGTGCCTAAAAAAGAGTGTTTGCTGAGAACGTCCATCATCCTCAAGCCACAGGTGCATTGGAAACCCTCTCCCTCCCACCCGAAAAACAAACCCAAACCCAAAAAAGAGAAGCTACTCACTGGGCTACTTTTCATTGGGTGCTGGTGATGATCCCTGCAGATTAAAACAAACTGCCCGTCAGGTTAGCCCCAAATATGGTTTGATTATTCTTCTGTGGATTGGTACATCCCAACTTTTTCTTTATTTCATTCTAGGAGCCCTTTTCCTAGTTGACATGTCTCTTCCAGCAACAATACATAAGGTATTTTCTGTGGTAAACATCAAGACTCAAGTGACATCTTGGGCATAAGACCCTCATTTTGCCTGAATAACCATGTAAATAAACATGTACCAAAAATGAATAAGTTTTATACAATTTACAATTTACTAATTTTCCAGCACAGTGTATTGGGGCTAATTTTTTTAAAAAAATTAATTTCTATCCTCCCTCCCTGGATTTCATTATCTATCTGGGTTAGAACATTTATTTTTTATTTTTATTTATTTATTTTTTGGAGATGAAGTCTCGCTCTGTCATCAGGCTGGAGTGCAGTGGCACAAACTTGGCTCACTGCAACCTCCACCTGGGTTCAAACAATTCTCCTGCCTCAGCCTCCTGAGTAGCTGAAACTACAGGTGCCCACCACCATGCCCGGCTAATTTTTGTATTTTTAGTAGAGATGGGGTTTCACCATGTTGGCCAGGATGGTCTCCAACTCATGACCTCATGATCCGCCTGCTTCGGCCTCCCAAAGTGCTGGGATTGCAGGCATGAGCCATAGCGCCCAGCCAGGTTAGAGCATTTAAAGCAATTCAGGTCAGGCATGGTGGCTCATGTCTGTAATCCCAGCACTTTGGGAGGCTGGGGCGGGCTGATCACTTGAGGTCAGGAGTTCAAGACCAGCCTGGCCAACATGGAGAAACCCTGTCTTTACTAAAAATACAAAAAATTAGCCAAGCCTGGTGGTGCATGCCTGTAATTCTAGCTACTAAGGAGGCTGAGCCACGAGAATCACTTGAACCTGGGAGGCAGAGGTTGCAGTAAGCTGAGATCAAGCCATTACACTCCACCCTGGGCAACAAGAGCAAAGCTCTGTCTCAGAAAAAAACAAAAGAGAGAGAAAGGTTTTGTACTCTGCAGAATCTGTATAGGATAAAATCTCTATGACTAGTGCTGAAAGGCTTTTGCATGGGGTTCATTTGGCAACAGAACTTACATCCCAGCTAACTGTACTTCCTGAAGTCCTGAAGAATCCAGGTGACCTGCAATCAAATATAAAGATTCAGTAGGGCCAGGTGCGGTGGCTCACACCTGTAATCCCAGCACTTTGGGAGGCCGAGGCGGGTGGATCACGAGGTCAAGAGATCAAGACCATCCTGGTCAACGTGGTGAAACCCCGTCTCTACTAAAACTACAAAAAATTAGCTCGTCATGGTGACGCGTGCCTGTAATCCCAGCTTCTCAGGAGGCTGAGGCAGGAGAATTGCCTGAACCCAGGAGGCGGAGGTTGCGGTGAGCTGAGATCGCGCCATTGCACTCCAGTCTGGGTAACAAGAGCAAAACTCCGTCTCAAAAAAAAAAAAAAAAAAAAAAGATTCAGTAAAAGGAGTTATTTTTGTCCATGTATCCTATTTTTCCTTCAGATTTTCTTCATTACCAGTAAGCCATATTAACTGCAAGGACTGAGCTTTTGAACACACAGCCTCTTGATTGGTACCCATTTCATGGTAAAAGGTACAATTTCATGGAACTTAAGAATTTATATGGGTCATTAAAAGAAGTGCTGGGAAACAGAGCACTATGCTAACCTATGGAGTGTTTTGTTTTGTTTTGTTTTGTTTTGTTTTTTTGAGTAGAAAAGAAAGGTTATCACTCAGAAAATCTGAAATTAGAATTCTGTAAGGTTGACTAATGAAACATTCATTTTGGAATGTTTTATACAAACACGTAAGAATTAGTTGACAACATATTCCTTTACGCTGGTTTCTTTGCCTCTGCTGAGATTAGACTAAGGCACAAAACTTCTCATATCCTGTGACTATACTTTCATTACCATCATTAATCAGTCAACAAAATATATTTCTTCTTGTCTAACATTTTCAAATGCAAAGTAGCTCCTATTAGTGTTATCTTTCTCTTCCCATTGGCTTAATCATTCTCAAAAATTCTCTAGTTACCCACAAAATTCCATCGCTCTAGGCAGATTCTCTATATACTTTCACCACTTTCCATCTCTATTCTACTTCCCTGTCATTTTCCTTAAAAGTTATTCTTCCCTTTGAGACCTTTGCCTCCCTTTTCCCTACCAGTTTCATCAAGGTCTGCAGAAGTGGTAAGCTGAGTGGCAGATATCTCCCCACTGCTAAGACTCGAAAGATCAAGGCAACGTTTTGGGGTTCCTCTGTTGAGACATAAAAGTACATCGAAATTCCCATTAGATTGTTATATCTTTAAAAGTCAAAAATCATGTCATACTCTTCGTTTATTTATTTTTTATTGTTTGAGACGGAGTCTTGCTCTGTCACCCAGGCTGGTGTACAGATCTCAGCTCACTGGCACGATCTCAGCTCACTGCAACCTCCACCTCCCGGGTTCAACTGATTCTCCTCTCTCAGCCTCCTGAATACCTGAGATCACAGGTGCCCAACACCACACCCAGCTAATTTTTGTATTTTGAGTAAAGATGGGGCTTCTCCATGTTGGCCAGGCTGGTCTCGAACTCCTGACCTCAGGTAATCTGCCCGCCTAGGCCTCCCAAAGTGCTGGGATTACAGGCATGAGCCACCATGCCTGGCCAATCCTCTTCACTTGAAAGATCCCTTTTTTTTTTTTTTTGAGACAGAGTTTTGTTCTGTCGCCAGGCTGAAGTACAGTGGCGCAATCTCGGCTCACTGCAATCTCCACCTCCTGGGTTCAAGCAATTCTCCTGCCTCAGCCTCCCTAGTAGCTGGGACTACAGGTAGACGCCACCACGGCCAGCTAATTTTTGTATTTTTTAGTAGAGATGGGGTTTCACCATGTTGGCCAGGATGGTCTCGATCTCCTGACCTCGAGATCTGCCCACCTCAGCCTCCCAAAGTGCTGGGATTACAGGCGTGAGCCACTGCGCCCAGCCAAAATATCCCTTAATGGCTATCAGATCATCTGAACTGTGTCTAAACAAATCTAATTGCTTTTGAAAATATCTCAGACTGGGCTGAGAAAAATCTCCCACTACTATAATGTATACCTCATTTTCTCCTTACCAACATACTGAAACAGATATTGTTTTTTCTTTAATGAGGCCCAAAGCTTATTGGCCGAAGAAGATCTTGACCCCACATCCTCTGTCCTGAGCAATGTGAACACAGACTGGATTTCTCCCTGGAGTCCCTAGTATTTCCCAGGTACTTACTTCTCTATTTGCTATTTGAGACATGACACGATCAGAATTCAAGTACAACTGCAATAACACTAATATTAATACTAATAAAGTGAGCAACTCGTAATGCAGCAGTTTTCAAAGACTTTTCCCAGATATCACAACATTTGATTCTCACAAGATCCTCGTAAGATAGGAAGAGATGATTAGGCTGGAATGCAGTGAGGCCATCTTGGCTCACTGCAGCCTCCAGCTCCCTGGCTCAAGCAACTCTTCCACCTCACCTCAGCCTCCCGAGTAGCTGAGACTATAGGTGCCCACCACCACACTCAGGTAATGTTTAATATTTTTTGTAGAGACAGGGTCTTGCCATGTTGCCCAGGCTGGTCTTGAACTCCTGGACTCAGGCGATCCGCCCTCCTTGGCCTCCCAAAGTGTGGAGATTACAGGAATGACCCGCCTCGCCTGGCTGAGATTATTATTTCTATGTCAGAGGAAAGAAGGTGAGACTCAAAAGGGTTACAATGTCAAGGGTAGAGCTGAGACTTAAACCCTGACCTTTGAGCCAGGATAACTGAAAACAAACCAACGAAAAACCCAACTGTTTGGAAATAGCAAAGGCAATAAGATGTAAAAATGAAAGTATATTTACCCAGACAAAATGCTTAGGTTTGTAGAATCACCAAGAAATTCACCCACTGGAGTTCTAGAGACATCTGGACAGACGGTAAAGGAAGTGTCTCTCTCCAGGAACAGGTTTAACATTTTCCTTTGATTAGACCTAAAACTGGGTCCTGAGCCAGAGCTTCCTTCCTCTCTTAAGGATGAGAAGAGTTCTGCAGACATGGTCTTCGAGTTCTCACAGAAGAAAAACAAAACCTAGCTAGGAGGAAAACATCATCTGTACCGGTACATCACAGTTCCCTCCGCTTTCCCAAACTCCTCCACCCTTTTCAGTCAGGCGGATCAGCACTGGAGGAGGGGCATCCCCGAAGGGTGATTCACAGCCTGGCTTCAAGGTTAAACTGCACTTGGTCGAAGCGGCTTGGCTTCAGGTTAGAACCTGAATTCACTGACGAAAGGCAACCTTAGGACTTTAAAGATGGAATAAAGTGGGGATTTTGACTTGTTCCACGCGACACAACTCCAGACTCCTTTCCAGAGGAACCCGGGTCTGGTAACTCGCAATATTGCCCATTCGGCCTTCCCAACCTCCGTTTGTGGGGGCCCAACTGGACCCTAAGGGGTCAATGGGGTCTCCGTGATTCTGTTGCGGAGACCACTGTGAACTTACCCCAAGCCTGGAGTCTGAGGCTTGCCATCGGGAGGAAGGAAAGTGGGTAGGGGTCGAACACAGGCGGAGATTCGAGCAGAATAAAAGGAAATCTAGGGGAAAGTAGACAGTTAACCAAACTGCAACTCTGCCTCCCAACTGGGAGGCCAGCGTCGGACTCGGCGGCTTCCCTGAGCAGAAGGCCGAAGTTACCGCCTCGGAGTAAGAAAACCAACAGCCCCAGGCGTTGACCATTCAAACCTTCCGCCCGCCCAGTAATTTATCTCGGCTCGCCTCTAAGCTGCGTCAGCCAATCTCCGCGCTCGCGCCCAGACACTCATGGCCAATCATTGGGCTCGCACAACACCCGGGGGCGTGTGCTTGCTCTGGAAGCGGTAAGACTTGCCCCGCCCCATAACCAGAGCAAGATAGCGATTGGCCCACCAGCGCTAAGCAAGACTGTGGGGTATGCCCGCCTTAAGAGGAGCCTGACGTATCATTGGCTCTCCCTCTGAGCAATCGCCACACCCTTTCTGTTTTCTTCGTTTCCCTCCGCCCCAAGAACCCCGGGAGATTTAAATCGCGCCTTGCTAGCAATAACCATTCCTCTAGGATAATACTAGGAAAGATTGTTTGGGGTGTAGGATGTTGTAAACGTTTCATTTTCATGGCTTCTTTCTCGTGCCGTTTGCGCGGGCGTTTTCTTCTACGTTTTGCTGGCCTTCCACGAGAGACAGCGTTTGCTGCCGGTGTGGCAGGTGTTGGGGCAAGACAGGTGTGCGGGTTTATGATGAGAGGCATTGGCCCCCTCCGAGAGCTTTCCTTGTTTGGTGTTTCTTTTAGTCTATAGCATCTCGGAGACGCTATTGTACGTGGGTAAAAAGAAATTCCGTTGCAGGGAAGAGGAGGAATTAAATCATCCCGGAATAATCCTTATGACAGTCCAGAAGACCTCAAAGTTTGGTTATTAATGGAATTTTTGAACAACGACTAAGTGGTGTTATTTAGAAATTATTGGCCGGGCGCGGTGGCTCACACCTGTAATCCCAGCACTTTGGTAGGCTGAGGCGGGCAGATTATATGAGGTCAGGGGCTCAGGACCAGCCTGGCCAACATGGTGAAACCCTGTGTCTACTAAAAATACAAAAATTAGCCGAGTGTCGTGGCACACAATCTGTAATCCCAGCTACTTGGGAGGCTGAGGCATGAGAATCGCTTGAACCTGGGAGATTGAGGTTGTGCCACTGCACTCCAGCCTGGGCAACAGTGAGACTCTATCTCAAAACAAAAACAGACATTCCTGATGTTAGGGATTTGCTTTTAAATAATCCTGTGCTGGGGGAGGGTATTGATGATACAAGATTGACCCTGAGTGTTAAGCAACAGGGGGCAGGAGGGTCCATCATATCTGCGCTACTCAACGTTTAATGTGCACACTCACCACCTGGGGACCTGCTAAATGCAGATTCTGATTCAGGAGGTCTGGGTTGCAGTTATGGCCCAAGATTCTGCCCTTTTTACAAGCCCCCTGCTGATGGTGAGGTAGCTGGTCCTAGGACTACACTTTGAGTAGTAAGGTATTATCTCATACTCTTTACTTCAGTGTATATTTAAAAATTTTCGGCTGGGCGTGGTGGCTCACACCTGTAATCCAAGTACTTTCGAGGCCAAGGCGGGCGGATCACCTGAGGTCTGGAGTTCAAGACCAGCCTGACCAACATGGTGAAACTTTAAAAAAAAAAAAAAATTCCATAATAAAAATCTTCCAAAAATAACCTTGGAAGCTCTTTAAGATGTAGGCTCCAAAAACCTTCATTCGATAGGTCTAAAGTGGGGTCATTAACAAGGCCCCCAGGTGCTACCCATGTAGACAACTTGCAGATCACACTTTGAGAAACGAAAGTCAAAAGTGCAACTTTTGTCTGATATCAGTATCTTGCTGGTGGTAGTGGCTGAGAGGCACAGTGTAGTCAGCTGGCTTTTATCCTAATTCCCTTTTCATCTGTAGAACCTGCTTCCCCAGAAAGGAGATGTGTGAAGAGTCTTTGTCCTCTAGGATGCAGACAGTGAGTGTGGGAGTTAGCACAGAACCTTGCTATGCCAGCTGAGTTTGAAAATCAGGCTGGGGATTAAGGGAGTGTGGGATGAGTTGATATCTGCTTTGATGACTACAATATAATCACACTTTGTGGAAAACTGTATACTTCCCTGCAGGTGGGAAGTAGAGACAGATGAAGTTATTCTCCAGTGGCGGCAAAAGCAGGTAGATTATGGCAAGTGTACACCTGGCTACCAGTGCTTTCTACAGCAGGTCCCCAAGTGAGTGCAGTTATAGATGGTCACAACAAAGGTGTCAACCAAAGTGGCTTTCGTTCAATGTTCAGGTGATGGAAATATACTAGAATCTGTGTGCTCTGACAAAGTTGCAGCATTCCTAAAAGAAATTCTCTAAAAATCTAGCCCCAAAAATAAGTTTGAGATTTTTTCAAATGGAAATTATACACCTAGCCCTTAAGACTTTTTTTTTTTTTTTTTTGTTTTTTTTTTGAGACAGAGTCTTGCTCTGTTGCATAAGCTGGAGTGCAGTGAGTGGTGCAATCTCTGCTCACTGCAACCTCCAGCTCCCAGGTTCAAGCAATTCTCCTGCCTCAGCCTCCCAAATAGCTGAGACTTCAGGTGCCCGCCACCACACCCGGCTGATTTTTGTATTTTTAATAGTGGTGGGGTTTCACCACATTGGCCAGGCTGGTCTCGAACTCAAATGATCCACCCACCTTGGCCTCCCAAAGTGCTGAGATTACAGGCAAGAGCCGCAGTGCCTGGCCACCCTTAAGACTTTTTACAGATGCAATGGTGCGCCTGTAGTCCCAGCTACTTGGGAGAATTGTTTGAGGCCAGCCTGGGCAACACAGACGCTGTCCCCTAAAAACAACAGCAACAACAACACTCTTAAAAGCTCCATGTTTCCTAATGGAATTGTTTTTTGTTTTTTTTGAGACAGAGTCTTGTTCTGTCGCCCAGGCTGGAGTGCAGTGGTGTGATCTTGGCTCAGTACAACCTCTGCCTCCTGGGTTCAAGTGATTCTCCTTCCTCAGCCTCCCAAGTACCTGGGAATACAGGCACGTGCCACCACACCCTGCTAATTTTTTGTATTTTTAGTAGAGACAGGGTTTCACTGTGTTACCCAGGTTGGTCGCAATCTCCTGACCTCAAGATCTGCCTACCTTGGCCTCCCAAAGTCCAGGGATTACAGGCATGAGCCACTGCACCCGGTGAGATTGTTTTCCTACCATTTTTACTATCTCATTGTGACTCCAGCTGGCTTAGCTAATTGCAACATACTTACTAACTACATGTACATTTACATTCATGCATACAAACTGTGGAAGGGTAGAATTATTTTAAAGGCAAGTCAAATATTGTCTTTTACATCTTGATTTCTGAGGGTGTTGGAATATATCTAATTTATCCTTCCCAGAAGAAAGAATATTAGGGAGGTGGGAAGTTTGGTGTTTAATCTGATTTGAAGATTTACTTTTTCTATTGGATTGAGGGCATTGATCCTATGTCATCCTTGGGGAATCCCTATCTAGGCTCCTGATTCACTGTGATAAGCAGTGAGCTGTGTTCCTTCACCTTGACCTCAATCTGACCCATATTTGTAGTTGCCAGGGCACAGCGGCAGCCTGGGCTTCACCCTGAAATACCAAACAAGAACCAGCGGTACAGCAGTTGCTCCTGGGATGCCCAGATCAGGCAGTGGAGAAGAGCCCTACATTTCTGGGACCCTCCCAGCCAGCCTCTGCAGGGCAGGGGAGCTGAGGGGTGTGTTTTCTATTCCTTGTTCTTTTCATGACTGGTGGGCTTAGCCCTACTTCTCCCCACTTTGCAGAGATTTAGCTTTCACTGGGTGAAAAGGGAGGGTCTGAATTGAATGCATGTTCCTCTGACTTGGCTGTTCCCTCCTAGGCAGGGAATGGAGAGTCTCTTAGAGCCAATGGATTCCACTCCTTTGGATGACCTCCTGGATGACTGGCTCCAGGCCCTGGAACCCTCAGAATATGGATGGAAAGTATCCTCTGCTGAAACCCACTGGGGCAGGGTCAGAGATAGGGTTCGGACCATGAAGGCACAATTAAGATGCTGTTCAAAACAGTGGCTCAAGAACAAAATAATACAAAGGGGGCAGCAGGGAAGAAGAGTAGGACATGAGTAAAAAATCACTGGGAATTAAAAGTGGAATAAGGAGATTTCATTATGGGTAGGTGTGTTGGGCTGCACTTGAAGGCTATTTAATAGATGATGAAAGGGGATGTAACCTTCCTTTGAAATGAGGCTTGAAACTTGCAGGGTTTTTTTTTTGTTTTTTTTTTTTTTTTGGTCTCAGTTTCTTTCAATGTTTTGCAAATGAGCCAATGCCTACTTTCAACTCAATCATGTAGTTAGTAAGCTTGGCTAATAATAAAAAGGGGAAGAGCTTAGTGGTGAAAAGCAAGGGCTCTTTGAATCTCTTTAGACTGCTTTTTGACACTACCTTTACCTATCACGTGGGCAGTCATTTAACCTCCTGGGCTGTTTCATTTGTCAAAGAGAAGGTTTTGTTTCATTGGATGACTGTAAGAAAAAATGAGAACAGGCCGGGCGCAGTGGCTGAAGCCTGTAATCCCAGCACTTTGGGAGGCCGAGGCGGGTGGATCACGAGGTCAAGAGATCGAGACCATCCTGGTCAACATGGTGAACCCGTCTCTACTAAAAATACAAAAAATTAGCTGGGCATAGTGGTGCGTGCCTGTAATCCCAGCTACTCAGGAGGCTGAGGCAGGAGAATTGCCTGAACCCAGGAGGCGGAGGTTGCGGTGAGCCGAGATCGCGCCATTGCACTCTAGCCTGGGTAACAACAGTGAAACTCCGTCTCAAAAAAAAAAAAAAAAAAAAAGAAAACATACATCAAAGTATGTAGGCCACGTGCGGTGGCTCACACCTGGAACCCCAGCACTTTGTTTTTTGTTCTTTTGTTTGTGGCCCAGGCTGAAGTGCAGTGGCATGATCTCAGCTCACTGCGACCTCTGCCTCCTGGGTTCAAGCGATTCTCCTGCCTCAGCCTCAGGAGTAGCTGGGATTACAGGTGGGCACCATCATGCCCAGCTAATTTTTGTATTTTTTAGTAGAGATGGGATTTCACCATGTTGGCCAGGCTGATCTGGAACACCTGACCTCAGATGATCTGTCTGCCTCAGCTTCCCAAAGTGCTGGGATTACAGGTGTGAGTCATCATGCCTGGCCATTCCAGCACTTTGTGAGGCCAAGCTGGGAAGATCATTTGAGGCCAGCAGTTTCAGACTACCCTGGGCAACAGAGCAAGGGCCCTCTGTCCACAAAAAT